TCTTTTTCCCAAAGCAGACCCCCCCCCCCCAAGAATCCAGCTGTGGCTGTTAGTTAATCTTGGCTGATAGTAGAGAAACTTCTTAATACTACAAATTCTTAACCTGTAAACACAGTTAATAACAAAATAACTTTAGTGTACTACTCTTTCTGAACCAACTAACTATAAGATTTTCCTCAATCTTACCTAAAACTATTTCCAAATTTATAGTTTGCTATTTGTGGAATATGGACCAGAGAAAACATCAGAGAAAAAAAGGTGCCTCTAATTTTCACAAGTAAGATGAGCAAGTTAACGATCTCTGCCATGCATAAGGATTTACACTGAATAACTTTTCATTATATCAAACACATTTCCCCCTCACTGGGATCTTCTTTAGCAATTCACACTTTTTCACCCAAACACAAGTAAAATGAATTCTTATAAAAGCTGAACTTTAATTATAAGGATGTTCTTCATTTGTTACATTCTGAAAAGAAAAATTTAATTACCTTCCCAGTATACAAATCTGTAACCTTTTCTAAAACAGAGATGATCTGACTAGAACACTAGCCAAGTCCATACAAATGTATATTATTTTTTGTTCTTAAAGTTTATTTATTTATATCTTCTGTGAGAGACAGAGATAGTGAAATAGATACAAATATAGAGAAAGAGGCACCCCTAACAGTCTTCACACAGCAATCCTACCCCCCAGCCTCAGGCAGCAAGGATCTAAGTCACACACGTGTGCCCGGTTTGCACAAAGAAACCTTGGGATGCAAACCCCAGACCTTAGCATCTCTGAGAACTGCATTACCACCATGCCATCTATTTGTTTTCAATAGAGACTACAGAACAGAATATTTTCCCCTTTGCTCGTAATTCAACCTTCTTTATCTCCCTGGCATGTAGCACAACTGAAGGAACACTCAATGGCATTTAAAGTCAAGTCTCCAAAAAGAGCTGCACATTGATTTTACCAGGTATTTCTGGCAATCTATGAAGACACTTTCATGCACATAAAAACAACAGTTTAACTTTTCTACAGATAACCACAATAAAAACAGCCAACATTTATCAAGTGTTACTGTATCTTGGACAGTGTACTCACTGGTTTTAAATGATTACCTCATTTAATCCTCACACCAATCCTAAAATAAGCATCATTACTATCCTCATTTTATAGATGAGGAACAGAGAGGTTAAATAATTTATCAAGATCAAACAGCTAGTAAGTTCAGTTTTGACAGAAAGATAAAAGTAACCTGCTGAAGGTATTAGAGTAATAAAATTCAAAGCTCTCCAATATTACTTGGAGTACAAAGGCAACAGACCAAATGAATCCCAGGAACTTTGATCTTTTCATTAATCAGACAAGTCAAAAACCAAAACATTAATTTTATTAAGTAGCGGCTTTTTCCAGACTCACTTTTATCATGGTGGCAATATGTGTCATTATTTCAATCTATAATATTTTAGGCTGCCAGTGTCAAAAACTGCCTAGGTGTAGTGATCCTCAAAGCTCTCATGTGGTCAACTTTCTCCAACTCTCAAAATTATATACTACATAAGCCCCAGCATTTGTCCCAAAGTCTGCTCATCTTTAAGCACAGCATTTTCTTCTGGCAAGTGTGTAATAAAAACAAAAAGGGAGATTTACATTATTCTCATCAAATGAGTGGGGTTACTGTTTGTGGATTGTTCTGCATTTTGTTCTCACATTTTGAAAATGTCCATACAGGCATCTCGAAGCCTGACATCTGATAAGTCAAATTACATATGATGTTTTGATAACTCATGAACAACATTCCATCACTGGCAATGAGTGTATCTCAGGATACCCCACAATCATATTACCAGGTAAACTGGAATCCTTGCTTTGTAATAAAACACAGCAGACAGCTGTTAATGAAACCTTAATTGAACTGTCAAAGTACCATCTTTACCAGCAAGCTAATGGGTAGTTCACTACTTTTATACAACTGTTGTCATTCTACTAGTTAAATTCAGCAGAAAGATAAATCAAGTCAGGTAGATTAAATTGTTCTGTGATAAATCTGAGTAGTAAAATGCTGCATCACTTCTACAAATATCTCTCCTTGTCTTCATGGAGAAACAACAGCCCTCAAAATTATTGATATATGCTGCTTTTTTAGACATCAGTTAGCACAATTAAGTACATGTCCAGAAAGAGAAAGAGAGGAAAATAAAGTTTCCTGTCATATACTTTGTCAGAAGAATACTTGGAAAGTGCACTTAATGAAAATATGTTTGAATCTAACTAAATCTTATAATACCCAAGTGGTTATATGGTGCTTCAACTCAAAGATGTATAATTCAGAGAATACTTTTATGCTCCATTTTAATCACTTAAAAATAGTTTCACATTCATAAGATACTTTCTAAATTAAAAGAAAAATTCAGTTTCAGCTAGCTAAAAGATAAGAGATCTCACTAATATCTTGGGCTTTGGATTTCAGAATACTAGTGTAATTCACTCCAGTTGGTTTTCAAATCTGTAGTTTTAACAATCTTATTCAGGTCAAACAGCAGTTAAATTTAAAATATAATAAGCAATTCAGACAGCAAGTCATCAATATGTAAATATAAAAATAGAAAAGTATTTGCATACTAAAGCATGCACCTGGAAGCCTTCCCTTTTTTTAATACCAAATTGTATTTCACCTGTAACAGCTGACAAAAACACTCAATGCAGTTAACTAGAAAAACCTGGTTTAAAAAAACAAAGAACGAAACCCTGTGCGGACACAGTGAGAGAATAGGCATTTACTAGCCAGGAAGACCTCAGAAAAAAATCAAACCTGCACCTTGATCTTGGATTTCTAGCCTCCAAAACTAAGAGAAATAAATTTCTGTTGTTTAAGTCAAAACAAAGAAGGACCTGAGTAGCCCAATTAACCAAGCAGTAGAGATGCCTCAGCACTGTGCTAGATGCTAGGGAGAAAAAGAAGTATACAATAGAACAGCCTTTACCCTCAAATGGCTTACAAATGTACTCAGCTAGACAAGGCAAACATGAAATAACTGGTATACAATAGAAGACAGTGCATAAAGGAGTACTCCAAGTTCATGGTACAGACTCCACAGGTGGTTGAGGGGGCAATCAATGAGAGAGCTCTAGAATGAATTAAAATCAAACACATGGATTTTCAGGTATCAGAAACTGTTAGTACCCATTACCAGAATGTTTGCTAGCGTTGGTCTGGCACCCTAGTTGTTCGCTGCCCCCCACCCTTAAAATAAAAACTTCTCCCTTACCATCAACTTGAAGTTAAAACTTCTACAAGTCACATTACCTTCTGATAGAAATGTTAAGTGAGTGCCTGTAGAATATATCCAAGAATATCCCTCTCGGTATTCCTAGTTCTTATTCCTAGCATTGCACACTAAAATGAAAGAGCATCTAGATCTCAGAAAGTCCAAATTAATTCTGAGTTAGTAAAAAAGCAAGGCACAACCTTTATCCTGCCTCCTTCTGCCACCCTGGGAGCTTGGAAATTCTCAGGGGTTAGGCAGGGAATGGAAGTTCACAGTGAAATCCCTGAGGACAGGCTATAAAAGGGAAGACAGGAAGGCAGGAACAAGAAGGTCCCCGAGCAGAGTGACTGAAGAGGCACCATTACCGCTACTCTTTCC